AAGAAGATCGCATAGACTCGATCAGTGTGGACTTTCCTCATTTCCGCGCGATTTGTGATTCTGCAGAGTACTATTCTATGTACATTATTGTCCTCGATCTCATGCTCTACAGTGAACCCCTCGAAAAGGTCCGGAATGAGCGCTTGGAGAGGATCATGCTCACTTCCGACTTCAGTGACCTCCGTGGCGCCCCGGAAATGGTGTTCAAGCTTCAAGCACGCATTCGCCAGTTGGAGGAAATCAAAGAGTACTTCCAGATTAACGCCAAGTTCCTGGACAAACAGGGCTGGGAGGATCGTTTGGCTCTCGAACGCGACTTGTCTCAATGCGAGGATGAACTTTTCTTCATGATGAAAGCAATCACAACTTCCCAACGGCGAATGGAACCCAGTTCGTCCAGGGAAGCTGGTGTCCATGGTTTACTACGTTGGAGTATATCCGCGAGTGAAGTCGTGTGGCACCTGATGAAGGAGGCTTCTGAGCCCTTGATTGAGTTCCAGCTGCGTAATGCTTCATACGAACGAACCGACAATACTGATGGCTCGAACCACAACCTGGTATCGATCGAGCGACTATTCGGCTTGAACTTGCTTCCAGACGCTATTTACCCTCAAATTATCGCACCTTACCTCGACGGCGCACGCACCCTGGATGACTTCATGTTGCGCGTCAAATGGCACATGTTGGAGGCCGTTGCCGGTATCCCCGTCCTTGACAATTTCGAAGTTTCAATGTTCCCGCTCAAGATTCAGCTCGAACGCGAGCTAGGCCAGAAAGTCTTCGAATACATCTTCCCCAATGTGGGCTCCAGCGCCTTTGAGGCCGGTGGCTTCTCACCTTTCATGATCAAGAACATGAAGCCTCTTGAGGCCTCGGATGGGGAAGACGAGGACGAAGGCTTGAACGGCGCGCCACTGAGACGGTCAGCGAGTATCGATGGTGATAGCTCGTCTATGGAAAATCTCGCTACCTCCAAGGGACCGGGATCCATCGAACTGCGGCTCCAGCCTACACTTTCGCTTTCAGATGAGACTAAGTCGCGTAATCGCTCAGGCCATCTGAAGGGTCTTGTGATGACACCTATCCACCAGGATAGTACTCGACTAGGTGTATCAGAGACCGCGCGTAAAACGGGCCGTCCTGCTACGACTGGTGGTCTCAGCAAAAAGAAGTCTGCTGATAGTCTGCGCATGTTGACCAGACAGCCCACTGAAAGATCCCTGTCTAGCCACAGTGCCGGGGAAGACAACCGCAAGAAGTTCGGAATTGGTAAAGGATCGAACAAGAACGGCAAATCCAAAGAGCCAACCGACGACCTGTCCCAAATGATCTCCCGCGCCTCCAACTTCATGACCCTCTCACGCGTGAAGGTAAATGATGTGGTTCTCTGTATGAGCTACAAGGGCAAAGGAGAGCACAACTTGGAGGATCTCCATGATTTCGTCTTCCGCCTTCCAGTTCTTGAGTACAGTAACAAGACATGGTCGAACCTGGATCTTGCCCTGCGCCTCAAGAAAGATGTGATCAAAGCCCTTATCTCGCATGCCCCCGCCATTCTTGGCAACAAGTTCTCCCATCACCGACCCTCCAAGCAGCAACAAAAGCGTTTCCGTGAGCTTGCAAGCTCGTCTCAACTTCTGCCAAATACACCCAACTTGATCAACCCGAGCAGTAGCCAAGCCCAAAGCCTGGCCAGCTATGACTCTAATAGCGATTACTCAGAGTCACGCTCACGCAAATCTATGCAGTCGAATGCCTCGCCATTGGTTAGGACCACTTCGTTGAGTTCAGACGTCCACGGCGTAAATTATTCAGATCCCACCCTCCATGACGCACGGTCCGCCAGTGAGGTGGATGTAGATTCTCGCTGGGAGGTTCGTCTTCTTTCGTCTCATCGTGTCACCGCGAATATCCCAGAATGCTAACACAGAATGTCTAGGCATCGCGTCGATTTGTCAATGCTCCTCCACCCCAAAGGCCGATGACTTCTGGTAACCCCGTGGCTACGGCTCGACCCGGCAAGGATGATCAGGATGACAGGTATGGGTCCATCCCGGCTCCGAATCATTTATTGCCAAGGCAAATACAGGCAAATAAACTGACTGACTCGTATAGTCACATCAAAACAATTCGCAGCATCGGCCGGAAGTTGACATTCCGGAAATGATCGCTTCATCTTCCCTGCACTATATCCCTTGTTCTTTTTCTCCTCTTTGCTATTTTTGCTTAATACCTCTACACCCTTTTTAAAATTCTTGTGATTCTTTGTACACCACCACCACCTTATTTTCACCAGGCCCCTCGTGTCTCCTAGATACCCTCTACCTGCATCGGGCCGTACATAGGCGTTTTGTGTTTCATCTTTTTTCGGTGTGTCTATAGCGGGGATAAATTTCGTGTTTGATTACCCGAGCTGTCTGAGGACAATGGCATAGAGGCGAGAGGGAGCATTTCGATTTTTCTCTTTTCTTATAATCTTTTTAGTATCATCTCTTTCACACTGACATCTTGTTTCCTGCTCGGACAGGTGGCCATTCATCTTCTTTATGTACACACCGGCGGCTTTCCCTTGCCCACGATATAGACCAAGGGAGATATTTAAGTATTTTCTCGTCTAAACGAATTTTACATATCTGTGACTAACCAAGCAGGTCCATTGACCAATCATCTACGATTCTTTTCTCTCTTTTTCAAAAAGGTCCTATCGGGGTTATATGTTGAAGAAAGCTTATTCGAGGTCAATGTGGAAATTATCTGTAAAGTAATTAATCATTAGTCATATCCACTTGATTGATTGATATGAAGGTCGTCGTTAAAGGGAAGATTCGTTGGAGGGAAGATGTAAGGAAGATTGACTAGACATACCTTCTTCATCCCCGCAGGGACATATGTAGCCTCGAGTAATGTCGCCAACTGTTTCCATCGACCACTGTTCAGACGTTAGATGAAGGGAATCCAGTAGGATATGAGAAAAACCAACCCCGGAGTCTTTATCGCTCTTCAGGAAATGACCAATCTTGTTGCCCCTCTCTGGGGCCATATCCCAGCCAGTGGTCTGTGAAGTCCACCAGCGGGATGACCCCTCCGAAACAGCGAGTTGAGGAAAATCATGAACACCGGAACTAGGTGCGATAGCGAGTCATGGAATATTGCTTGAAGTTGGTTCGAGAGATGAAAGTAGACGGAGTAAAACCGAGCTGTAGAATCTCTGATGGGTGATCCATCGATAGCGAGCTTTGCACGAAAGCGGTGCCAGTGAATCTCTGGATCTGGGAGGGAGGGGTTTGGATGTTCTCATAAATAACAGAGGAAGTACAGGAGAAGGGGTAGAAGGAGAGAACTTGAACCTGAACCGGGTGGATTGGTCAAAGAGTTTGAATTCACAGAGGGATCGTTGTTAATTGACTCGGCCGAGCTGCCGTTCCAATGAATCTTCATCGTTGGACTGCCAGTGCCAACAAATGGCAACAACGCAGGCATGTCGTTGATCCACTTTGACGAATGACCGAGAAAGAAAGCGAGGTTGAAAAAGCTTGCACTAGAGCCTGTTGATGGCCAAGCTCATGGGAGAAAGGGTGTCTGATGCGTGACTATAGGAGAGAGAAAGAACCCTGGAAGAATCTCCAGGGCTGGCAACTACCTCCAGGGCTATGTACATATGTAGGTAAGCAGGTCCTGACAAACAAGGAAGGGGTCAACATGGAAAACAGTCAGGCAGCTATATCAACATAATGTAGGTATATATACCTACCTACCCAGGTGGTATTTCATTTTATTGCATATTCCCTACCTAGCCCTAAAGAGGAGATATCGTTTACTATGATACGTTGAAGACTATATAACTAGTTTGAATGTATAAAATTCAAAAACTATGTAAAGCCATAACTAAAGTTAAGAGGGGTTGAGTATATAGATGAGAGCAAGACGGTAAATTAGGCGGTAAACAAATTAAATAGGTTGGCGCGATGGCGTCTAAAGCCTGTGGGAGTATGTTGGGTAAAAGCCTATATGAGATGAAATACATCCCGTAAGGGGCGAGAAACGAAGAAAAGCGTACGAAGGAACTATAAAATCCTTAGTTTTCAACATTCAGAAGCTGAACATACAATCGGGTGGCTATAATAACACCCTATATTGGTCACCCTTTCGTAAGTGGAATTCTGATTTCGTAAGGACCAAGAAACGAAGAACAAACAACTATGAAAGGATAACGCTCATTATCGTAAGATTCAAGAGCTGAGAACGTAATTCATACTCGCAACTTTGGCCGAGTTGGTTATGGCGCCAGACTCAAGAAATTTACTTCTTTCACTGTCTCAGTGAGCTTTCTGGTCTCGAAAGAGGCGTGGGTTCGAATCCCACAGGTTGCATATGAGTTTCTTTTTTTATTCCTTGTCGATGTCATTTGATTGGCTTTTACTTTTTTTATATGTAAGTCCTTTACTGTATACAACGGATTTTATTTCTGGTTTCATGGTCCTTAACTTATGACGATCAAATAAACAGAATTTCCTTTTTGGGTATGTAGGGGCTGACCACCGAACTCGTATTTCTTGGCGTGGATTCACCTCCACCCCTGTTAGTCCACTTTCCCCTCACTATGATAAATGCCTTTGTAATTAGTGGTGGCCTTCAGTGCATTTTCGGAGAAGGTGACGGGGCTGTGGCCGTTGGCCTCAAGGTAGATACTGACGTCGAAATTAATACTCCGGTATTTCCAGATGTCTTTCTTAGAAGCCTTTTAAATATACTTGCTAAGACTCTTCAGAGAATAGGGGCTAATTATTCTTTAATATCGTTATAATAGCGACTGTTTAATATTAGCTGTTTCTGACCTTTCTAAATATAATGCATGGCTACGTATATAGGTACATATGCGTAGAGAAAATACATACAAATAATTCAAAACGTATTTGATGAAATATGTGATATATATGAGGTTGGTGCTACGGACTCATGGTTGTAGCTCACTCTTAAACCGCACATGTCAGGCTTTGGCCTCAAATATAACGTGGACGGAGCACATCGGCGGGCATCTGGCTCAACGTTGGTGGAGCACGCGGAGCCAATGGTCTGGGCCTGGTCTCAAAGCGCGACGGATCGCTGCATCTGCTGCGTGGAAGCACGTGTTTTAGCAGCTTTCCTTGATTCTCAGCAGCCAACATCTCCAAGACTGAATCGGGCACGATCAAAGAGGCATCATACTCCAGAATGAGCGCTAGGTCAGTACACTCCGCCCAGACCTCCTGGTACACCGAAGATCTCGCAGCTGTGATCAACACTTGTGGGGGAATGTGTAACTCCGTGGCTGAGGCCAGGAACGTACGCATTAGCCAATCATCCGAGCTTCCGCAAGCTGCCTCTAATGGTGTCTGTTCGACCATTTCCTCTGTTTGTGAGAGATGCTCAGCCCGTGGATCATTAGATTGGAGTGAACGGACTCGATTCGGGTCAGCACCATTTTTGAGCAAAAGAGAGACGTTGTCGGGACAAGCTTTGTCGAGGGCCGCGAACAGACCGTTTTGGAGCTCAGCTTCTGAGGAGTCGGCCTCTCGGTGGGCAAGGAGGGCTGTGACAATGCCCGTATGGCCAAGGGAGCAAGCAAATTCGAGAACTTCTGGGCTGTCACCACACTTAAACTTGGCACCGGCTTCTAAAAGACAGTAGACTGTATCCTCGACGTCTAGGGCATGGTGGCCATGTGATGTTTTCTGTGTTGGTTCTGCCAAGCTCATCTTGAATCCTTCTAGTGCGCCCAGTAAAGGTGTCTGACCTTGCACATCCAGCTCATTGACATTTGCACCCCGAGAAAGAAGCAATTGAACCAAATCCTTGTTCATACTTCGAGCCGCAGAAGCTAAAGGCAGGTAGCCCCGTTGATTTGGACTGTTTGGGTCAATACCCCGAGCTAGGCAACGTTGAACTGCTGCCGTGGAGCCACAGGAAGCCGCAAGTACTAGTATGTTGGGGCTAGGTGGAATATAGTCCAGCAAAAGCTCAATTAGATAGATACGGTATGCCAGTGATTCATCTGACATAGCCGTTGTCCAGATTGTCTCAAAATCGCTTCTTTGTGAGGCAACTTCCAGAAGAAGCTCGAGGATATTAGCTTTGGCCGGTGACCAGCTATCACCACAGGTTCTTGCGATCGCATTCGGAATATCTGTGCTACAGGAAAGATCCTCGACAGCCCTGACATCGCCATGGTCAAGAAGCGTCCTCACAATCTCGAGATGTCCCTTGTTTGCAGCAATCACGAGTGGCACACCAAGGCCTTCCTCGGCTCTTTTGGTTGGATCGGCGCCATATTTCAGCAATTCTTGGACAATAGCCAGATGGCCGCGACGAGAGGCTTGATACAATGGGGTTGACTCGACCTTGCTCAGCGTGTTTAGATCGAGTTTGCCCGGCGTGTTAGGATCAATGCCAGCGGACAGAAAACTCGACACAATATCAGCGTCACCCGTAGCACATGCAACTAACAATGCGTCGGAGCCTCCATCTATCGAGAATTCCAATTGAAGTAGACAGTCCACCATCTGGGCATTTCTCGCCCGCGCAGCAACGAGAAGAAAGGATCGTCGGCCTTCGGTGCGAACGCGTTGTGCACCACTCTGGACAAGGAGCCGCACCGCCGCAGTGTGGCCGCCCATAATAGCCTTAGTCATGGGATCCTGTGGACAACCGACATACCCTTTACATTCGGGATCGGCGCCAGCATTAAGAAGCTCTCTCATGATGTGAATATGACCATAAAGTGCCGCACAACCGAGGGGCGTGTCGAATACCGTTTCTTGATCGGAATCATTCACCAACGCCCCATGTTTCAGAAGCAGTTTAACTGACACGCGATCCCCTGCTGTCGATGCTGCAGTCAGGAGCATTTGGAATTCGGGTTTATCTGCCCTTTGTTGCGGGAGTTGTTTGAAAATTTCAATTAACAGCGCTCGCATTCCGTCGTTAAACAACTGCCGAGCTGCTTCGATCGACAGTGCTTCACTTTTGTACTCATGATCTCGAGTCCGGGGAGCGGCCGATCCATATGGCAGCAGAGTTCGCCGTCTATCCCACATGATAGAGCGGCATAAGGACATGCGCACTGCGGGATGGATCTGACCTTGCCTTGTACTAGGAACAGTCGCCCCTCCCTTGAGTAATGTTGCAATCATAGAGTATGAGAAACGACACTTTCTCTCGGCCGCAAGTAAAACTGGATGACAGCTTTTCTCGCCTTGGGACCAATACTTCCGCGACTCCCCATGCTCATCATCATCCTCGTCCAGCCGATTTGGCTCAGCGCCTGCATCCAGCAGAGTCTGAATAACGCGTTCATTGCCCCAGCGTGCTGCATATTGAATTGGGTACATAGGCTGCCCACCCTGGTCATCTGGATCGCAACCAAGCTCAACAATTGTGCCAAGAATCGACTCAAGCTCCCGCGATAGCTTCACAAGAGAATGAGAACCCCCGTAGTCGGAATCCTCGCGCAATGCAATCTTCTCGAACCCTCGTATGACGGCCTGCAACGGGCTGATTATCCGGGAGGAAACTTGGGGATTTGCTGGTTGTTGACGTCGATGAGCATGCTCCCAGGCGGGCGGCAATTGGTTATCAAAGAACGCAACCATTGAGGCCATATTTTTGTCAGATCCCCTCGGATTTGGCACTTCCTGCACGCAAATGTGAATTTCCGCGCCGTTTTTCAAAAGCAGATCTGAGGTTTTCCTGCGTCCGTATTCGGCGGCCACAACAAACCCTCTTGTCAGAATTGTTGTCTTGTTCGCCTCCCCTATGCCATTCCAAAAGCTAGTGAGATCCAGCATACTCTGCACAACGCGGGAATTTCCTGCATACGAGGCAGCTAAAAAGGCATAATAAAGCTTTGAACGGCTTTCCTCAGATAGTGCATTCACCAATACTTTGTTCGCAAGATAGCTGACCATTTTGGCCTTGCCCGCAAACGCTGCATCATAGACGCCCTGGCAGATTAGCTGTTGGGGGAAACAATCCTCGGTGAGGCCACAGCCAAACAAGAGCTCCATCCCACGGATATAGTGTGAACAGGAGGATAGGAAGACATCCTCCAAAAATTTGCTCGGCGCATTGTACTTCATATAGCCTCTGGCGTTTGCTTTGGCCAGGAGCTGCTTCAACAGACCGAGATCGCATGTAGTTGTTGCTGCAACAATGAATGATCGCAACACACGGCGACTGTCTTCGAAGCTTTTGGAAACACGAACTTCTGGATTGAGATACATCCTGAGAGATGAGATCATAGCTGCAGATGCTGTGGGAATTGTCACATCCGATGCGTTCGCAGTGACAACTGGACTTTCCAACCCGCTATGCTTTTGCAGCCACAACAAGACAAATTCTGTTATCTGGCGCCGTTGAATATCCATGGAAGTATCAATAGCGTCGGCAAGATTCCACATAAAGGTCTCACCTGGTGGTGGGTGATGCTGCAATAGCATTGAAACACAAGCAAGGTCTCCAGACTGGATGGCGGCCTCAAAGGGTAAAAACCACTGTTCAGATAACGGCTCATATATCCAGTTAGATGCATCACCTAAGATTTGCAGGCCCTCGGATTGCCCATTTTCAGCAGCTGGGATCATTGCCTTGGTTACCTCGTCGTCTCCATCGAACAGCAACCTTCGGGAAATTCCTTGGGTAACAAGAAAACTCAATGTCTCAAGTTGTCCGTGGATTACAGCACTTTCAATTGCACCAGCAACTGCCCCATCATAGAACTTTCCGCGGAGGAGGTGGTAGCGTAGGGACTGTATATCCCCAGCTACGGCACTCAGTTCTAGATTTCGAGTCCCTTCGGCCAAGTCATCGTGTTGTGCACGCGCATCATCGTAATCATCATGGTCGTCATTTTCGGCTTTACCATCATTGTCATCGCGCTTGGTGGTCCGGTTGGAAGACTCGACATCAGATGTCTCTGAATCTGAACACGTCTGAGACTCTGTGTCATCTTCGACCAGTGCTTGTTCCCCATCATTCAGATTCTGGGTAGTCAACGGGTTACCCTTCAGGAATAGAGAGCTTCCGTGATCTCCCCGCGATACCGCAGGTAGGGATTTGCCCTTTGGTGGCTGATATCCCTTGACCAGGAGCAACTTCGCGATCTCCCCATGACCACTTTCGATGGCAGCGTGCAACGCATCAAGGGAATGGCCCTTCTGGTAAATGTCTGCACCGTGGGAAAGTAACAGCTCTACTGCGTCCTTATGGCCGTACCAAGCTGCGGCCTGCAGACAGGTTCCCCAGGGTTTGCCCACTTGGTTAACATTAGCCCCAGCCTGGATCAAAAGCTGCATCGTCCCGAGATGGCCGTTCATCGACGCTGCCTGTAGCGCATCACCCTCGGTGCCACAGAGCCCAACGTCAATTCCCTTCCCAATTAGCATGCGGACGATAGGTTCACAGCCTACTAAGCTAGCACTTCGTAATGCAGAGCCAAAGTGTCCTTGCTCGTCTGGATTGGCTCCGATGCTGTGCAGATACTCGACCATAGCCAGATGACCAGAAGTTGCGGCAATGGGTATGCAATCTTTAGGGAGCGATTGCATGAGATGTGTTCGCTTTTCGAGGAGTGATTTCAGGACGGCGACCTGGCCTTGCTTGATCGCCACAGTAACAAGGCCTGTGTGGGCATTGAGAGTCAAATTTGGCAGACCCCACGATTTCAGGGTGCTTGACTTGGTAAGCCATTCCAGCACTTTGGGAAGCCCAGCCTTGATGGTCTCTTGGAGCATGATAGAGTGTTGGTCCGCAGACTGGGCTGCTGTGCAGTTCTTTGCAAGGTACAGGGCGATCTCCGTATGACCACCGAGGCAAGCAGCCCGATATGCGCGAGAGAAAGGCTCGGGGGATTCTAGTTCATCTATGCGCCCCAGGAGGTATTGGACGACATTTAGATGGCCTCTGAAGCATGCGACCCGTGTGGTAGTACTGAAGGCACCGCATTCCAGCTTATAATCAGCGTTGCGGTCTAGTAAGATACTCACAACATCCTGGTGGCCGTAAGAGCTCGCTAGATAAATTCCGGTATGTCCCGTATCACTACGCTGATTAATGTCCACGTCTGGAAGCACTTCCAGAACGTACAACAGGAGCCCGCGCAACCCAAATACGCAAGTGAGAAACAAAGGTGAGAATGAGTCGTTGAGGGTATTTTCGAACAGGTTTCTCGTACGATGGTATGGGGGCAAGTCATGGCAGACCTGCGCTATCCAGTCCATCCAGGTCAGAAAGGCTGGACTGAGGAACCCATCATCCTGGTCTGCGATAAATGATTTGGCGTGTTTGCCAAAATCATGATCTACACCCGAGGCTTCACATTCCCGAATATGCTCTGGCCAGCAAACAGCGGCATAATGATAAAAGTCTTCTACAGGGGTCTCGTCTCCAAAAAAGGGAACACTACTCGGGCCTGAAGCGCATTCCAGCATACAAATATCGGCAAGAATTTGATGAGCAACTTGTGCAGAGAACATTTCCTGCTGGCGCATGTAGTCACGCACGGAAGGATGGCAGAACCGAGCCACGCCTTGTGACACATCTAGCATGACCAGACTGCAGCAGAGATCTTCGAGATCCACTACCCCAGCTCCGGCAAGTGATGGATTGAGTGCGAGGGTACGTTTCACGGCTGTAGGATGCAAGGGTCTCTGGGCATAGAGGAGTAACGAGAATACGTGCATGATAGCCTGAGTGGCAGCCGAATCTAGCTTATTGAAACGACGGAGGGTACGGCCATAGATCTGGTCGAGGTCTGGGGTTAAGTTGGTTTCGAGTGCGGTCAGGATATCTTGCTCTGTTCTTTTGCGACAGAGAAATTCCAACTGAAGAGTGACCCACAAAAACCTATCAACAATGTGGAGATTAGGTTCTTTGTCCAAATTGTCTCAGTGTCAAAGGGGACATAGCGGTACTCACATCTCCCCAGCTCTGCTTATCAAATGCTCCTTCATCTTGTCTATCAACTTGCTCGTCGCAGTTCCGTTCAAAACGCGTCTCCTTGCGTTTGCCTGTTCTACCTGCCGATTTGCAAACTCTCTGACATCCGTTCGAACACAGTCAGAAGTGATCCGGAGCTTGGTAGTACCGAGTAGCAATCCCTCGACATGAGCGTTATTGCAGCTGGTAAAAAACACCTTAATGATGCTTGCAGATTGATCCACAAGCTTCTTCATGGTTTCAATCATGACTGCTCGCTCATCCTGTCCAAGTTGATCAATTGCATCAATCACAATATATGCCGGGTTAGTCGCAGTGAGATCCAGAAGCATGGAGAAGCAATCATCAACGCTCAATCTTGCCATATCCGCTTTGATTTGTTGGGCAACGTCGAGCCGCTTTTCGTACGAAGACAGTACAGCTTGGTCAATCGATTTATTGACAGAGTCCACTGCTAATTGTCTAATTAGACCACGGAGAATACTATCTGTCCTTCCTCGTTCCGGCTCCGCATTGGAGTCATCACAGAAGAAATATGCGCATGGTACTGGGCTCGCCCCAGGCACAACCGAGGGCTGTTGGAATTGATCGACGACAAATGAAGCGATAGTTGACTTTCCACAACCCCGCACACCATGTAGCAGCAATATCGCGGATGAGCTAGAAGTGTGCCAGGTATGGAAGTCTGTGTGGTTCAAGAGCCATGATCCGGACCCCGGCATTCTTCTTGTAGCAATATCCCTAAGGTGCAGAGTGGTAGGTACCGTACACAACCATGAAAGAATATTGGATATTTTTTCTTCGTCTATAGAATGACGCATGGCAAGGCTAGTGTCAATCAGGCGAGGGAGATCAGCATCCAACTTTCTAGAAATCGCTGCCATTTTGTCCATTATAGAAGCGGCCTGGGTGTTTGTTGCTTGGGAAAGCTCCGAATCAGACAACGCTGTCCATTTCAAAACTTCTTGTTCTTGAGCATAGACAGCTGTCATTTCTGGGAGCTTAGGGTCGGATCGAGTAGCACTCCAAAGGGTGCGTTCTAGGGAAGTCAGCTCCATGCTCGAATTGGTTGTATTAATATAGGTCATACCTGGAAAACCTTGTTTAAAATATTTGACTAGTCTGGACAAAGAGCTCATGATATCAACATAGAGCTGGGTCATGGCTTCTTGCAGATGAGCCATCATGCTAAAAGAGCGTTTGAGGTGCATATTCTCAACAACTTCACAACGGTAAAGAAGTCGAGCGATTGTTTCCAGGTTCACGAGCATGCCTCCCCAAACCTGAACATCACCAACTGCGACATTCAAAAGGAATCGAAAAGCGGCCCATGGAAGTGCAGCATGAGAAGGATCGTACTGGACGATATTGTCTCCGACATAGACAAGGCGGTTTACCCATCCTGCGATCTTTTCTAGCACGTCTCGCAGAATGATGGTCTTTCCACTTGGCGTCTTCAGTTTCCATTGTTTGGAAATACAGATATTTCGCTTTTCATGAGCTGTCTTTACGACAAGATGGAGGATGTCAAGTTTGCGGGTTGCAATGCCGGCGAGTGAAGCTCGGGTATCGGGATCAAGCCGATCGATCGCATCTTGCCAGCGGGTCGCGGCTGTTGCAGGTATTGGAACAGTGATGGTAGAGGCAGAAGTAGCCATGGCCTGTTATTGTCTAATGTTATACCAAGTTAAGCATAGGAACTACAGTTTATACCTGCGTAGGGAAAATACCCGGAAAGAGCAATGGATCGCAATCTGCTCTACATGCAACCCTGGGTAACCGAACTAAGTGTCCGTGTTCATATGGCTTTGGCAATATCGTTCGGTTGCCTTTAGAGACCTTGGTGTTGTCCGCAGCATCCATGAGGTCTACTAGGCTGGAAGTGAAAGCCACCATTCTGCAGGCCAAGAAAGCGCTGGCAGCGGGCAAGCAAACAAATTGTAGAGAATCCATGCAAGATTTCACCCGGGTTTGCGGTACTAGCTTTAACGGAAGCTGACTGCAGGTGCTCCTCCATACAAAAGTAAGCCTTGCCGCGGCAACCTAATACCTGGGTGAACAGTTCTGCAAATAGTTAGTTCCGTGGAGAAATTGATAACTATACAAGGATCTGTTGATGGGGATAGAAACCACGCGTGATGGCAGACCCCGCTCAAGCCTCCTCAAGCCTTTTACTTGGCGAAAGACGAGACATCTGCCTGTTGACTCGAGACGCAAAAATTTCTTTATGCTACGTATCTCAATACTGTCGCATGTGAATATTTGCAAATTGAACCCGTATTATGGCCAAATACCGATGGTACAGGACAGTGTTGTGAAGTTGTAATTCACAAGCGAGCCGGCCAGCCCCAACAAATCGCGTCCATGAATTATTAGCCCTTAATTAATTCAAGCACCTGTAGGTATCTTGAAGATAGTTTCCTTCCTCTCCTCAATCAACCATATTTCTCCAGATACATGGCCTTCAAGACATAGAAATAAGGGGAATTGTCAAGTAGCAATATACTAGATGTAGAATAGCACTATTTGCGATGCTTCTCTGGCGACTGACTGCTAAAATACAAACCCTGAGTCTTTACCCCCTCCAATAACTTATTCACCTTATCCATGCACTGTTCTTTAAACGGTATTGCTTCTCTGGCTCTATGAGTCGCCAACGGGGACACAGCGATTGGATTGGAACAAGACACCTTGGCGGTTACAAGCCAGTCTACCTTGTCAAAGTTTCCGGCCTGCCCCCGTTTCGTGATTCCCGGACAGATGATGATTTTTATTGAGTTCGTTGAATCAAGCTCCTCAGTTTCCGCAAGTTTCATCCGGCTCTCGTCAAATTCTTCTCCGACCCTGGGGAATTCCCACCTAAAATGTGCCAGCGGCTGGCTGAGCTCTTCATCCAGTTCGATTGCAGTTTGTAAGACCTCACGAATACCATTTTTCATATCACCGGGCTCGGTGAAACGGTACGGTTTAATCGCGACATGTATCTCGTTCACGAGATCATCCAAAAGCTTTCTGCAACTCTCGGTCCATCCGGGATCCCCGCGGCTTATGGACCCACGAATGAGCTTAGTTGTAGTGGCAGACCACATTTGGAAGCTCTGAAGTTCGGCCGCAGTCGACTGGTCTATATGTTATCAAATAGTCAGCAAAAGTCCCATTTGGCCTCGAGATAACGCTGTCAGTCTCACTCTTTTTCATAACCGCATAAACATTGCCCATATGGACGCCGTGCTTGCCCGCCCACCAGAACCGGTTGAAGACTCGAAAGACAAAGTATTTCCACAGAAAACTTTCAATGATCATGGGGCGCCAGTTGGCAGACTCAAGGGCCCTTTGAGGGGTTATGTCGCTTGGCAGGTTGGGCTTAGTGTGCTCAACGAAGACGTGATTTGGTTGAGTCTCTCGTCCACGAGTGGTGACCCCCTTTTCCTCTTCGTAATGATGAAGACTGAACATCCAGATTTTGTTCCGGAGACTTTCCACCCGCCCTGTCACATAGCTATCATACAGCTGTGGGAATCCTCCGACGGAAAGTTTGTATTTGGTCAATTGCGTTGCTGCTGCCCGATACCGGGCCTTGTAATCATCGCGCTGCTTAGTTCGTCTTTCTATGGCTTGCTTGTATCTAGACTCAAGATCCTGATAATCCGAGGTAACAGTCGTTGGCGGCGGTGGTTGTTCATGCTCCATTGTGTCTGTAGATCCATTCAGCTGCAGGACATCCTGGCTTTCTCCTGGTTCGGAAATGTCAAGGTGATGGTTGTCATTCATAATGTTACAGTTGGAGTTTGTTTTTGAAGCGCAAAAGTAGTTTCCAAGGTTTCCTATTTTTCTTTGGCTTTCTCGACTGGGAACTGAGATCAGAGGTGAAAGGTAAGGCCTAAATTGGATAAAACAATAAAAGGACAACTGGAGATTGGGGAAAGCAAGCCAACAACATTTCTTTCAATAAATACCTATCTATCCTAAAAGGGACAACATCTTAAGACAGGCCGAGATTGGAATCTGGTAAGATACACAAATTTGCAAATTTCCGTATCCCCGTATTTCCGTATTCCAAAATATGCGTTGAGCAAAACGGTTATTTACGGTACAGCAGTATGCCAAAGGAAGCTAAGTCAACTTGTAAGATTGTAAGATTGCAGGATTATAACTATGTAGACAGACTCTGCCCACCGAAGACCTCGGGAGCTACGTCCATCTTTCCTATAACTTTTCGTTCAACATCAGTTCTTGGAGGGATCCGAATCACCACAAGTGTCAACAGGATGAATTTCGAAGATGATGGCTGGGACGAGGATGGCGGCAGCTATTCAGACAACAGTGACCCCGATCTCGACGGCCTGAACCTTATGGAGAAAGACGATGTTCTTGTTATCGGCATTGACTTTGGAACTACGTATGTCCCCAATTTTCCTCTTCCGAGCGTGACTGACCATATTTGCTCGTGGGCTTCAGATTTTCCGGAGTCGCATACGCAACGGAGAGTGAGTTCCTCGCAAAGAACATTAGTGTGATTAGCGAATGGCCAGGTTGCGGCCGTGATGAGGGTAAAGCCCCGACTGAGCTCTTGTATGAACATGAAGAGAGCTGGTGGGGCTATGATCTCCCTGACGTGGGCGATCCAATCCGCTGGTTTAAGCTTCTCCTCCTGAACAATGAGGATCTCCAAGAAGGTGTCAAGTCTTCCGCGTTCTACCTTGCAGCAAAAGAAAAGGTTCGGAGGGAGGGCCGGAAGCCGGTCGATTTGGTCGCTGACTACCTGCGGTTCCAATGGAAGCATGCACTGGAGGTGATCGAAAAATCCCGTGGAGACCAGTTTCTACCTTCCCTGAGGTTTCACATTGTGATCACAGTACCTGCTATTTGGAAGGGATATGCCAGACAAAGCATGCAGGAGGCAGCGGAAAAGGCAGGAATATTGGCACCTCGAGATATCGGCAAGACCAGGCTCAGCTTTGTCCTTGAACCGGAGGCGGCTGCGATGGCGACTCTCACTGATCCGGAACACCAGAGTTTGGTCAAACCCGGCAAGACGTGGCTTATTTTGGATGCAGGGGGTGGAACAGTTGTAAGTACTTCCGCTAATAACATCATAGTTGACCTCCAGGCGGCTGACATGAGTCTCACAGGATCTCATTAGCTACAAAATTACATCCACGGACCCAATTACAATGGATGAGGCCGTCGAGGGAACAGGTGAGCTGCGTTCTATTTACCTAATGGACTTGACACACCATCTATAACGACTATTGACACGGACATACTATAGGGGCCCTATGTGGCGGTGTATTGATTGACGAATGCTTCCAGCAGTTGTGCAAGAATCGCCTCGGCCGACGCTGGTCGCATCTCAGCCCCAATGGTATCAAAGAGATCATGGGTGATAAGTGGGAAAAGAACTACAAGCGCGAGTTTGTCCCAAAGCAAAGCAAAGAAGAATATCCCGTTCCCATTCCCGCCGAGGCTTACAAGGGCGGTGACAAGGTGTCGGACGATTTATCAAGACTCCCTCATATCAAGAACGGAAGGATCCAGTTCCGAGAACAGGACCTTATGGAAGCCTTTGCAGAGTCATTCGCCCGCATTGATGAACTGGTTGATGAGCAAATCAGTAAGACCAAACAGAGAGGTCTCACTCTCCAGGTGAGTCGGCAAACGCATCTCTATTTCCTCCAAACGGGGCCGTTCAACTCACTTTCTTCAGGGAATTATTCTCGTCGGTGGGCTAGGATCAAGCCCATATCTCCATCGGCATCTAAAGGAGAGATACTCAAAGGCCCGATTAACTGTTATCAAATCAACGGGAATGAAGCCGTAAGTCAACGTAACCTGGATGATGCTTCCTAGGACTTCGACCTGACGACATGATACAGACGAACAGCAATTTGCCGTGGAGCAGTCTACAAAGGCTTCGCTCAAGACCAAAGCATGGGCCCAGAGGATGATGATGACGAGGACTTTAGGCCTCAACGTGTCGCTCCCATTAGCGTGACATCAACCATCTCTCGCTACAGCCTCGGGATGCCGCACTATATCAGATTCGATCCCTCGATACATAGCAAGTCCGATCCGCATTACAAGTGGCATGCTGAAGAAGGAGCTTTTATAATCGATAACCGAGTCACATGGTATATTCGCAAGGTATCAGACGAACCCCATCGGCCACTTGAAGCATCATCAACTCACGCTTGTCATGATATAGGGAGAGAATGTATCCAAGATCGACCCCGTGCGAAATTCCTGGACCCGCCTCCTGAAAAAGAATTTTCAAGGAAGCTTCACCGAGAGACTGGTTCAATGCGACAGCAGTAATCCCCCTCCCTGCGTTGATGAAATTGTGAAGCCCTTGTGCGAACTGAAGGTTGCCATCGATGTGAATATGTCTAAGCTCGAAGACTTTACCAGCACCGATGGTAAGAAGCAGAACAAGAGACTATACTATGATGTAGAGATGGTCCCTTCTGGGGCTTCGATGGAATTCAATTTCTACATCGACGGTATTAAGCAGGCTTCTCACAACATCAAAGCTGAATATGAATAGGCAGTTACTCATTTAACTTGGATATAGGAGGGATATGAGGGCACATGCAAGGTGTTACGTCAATTCTTTTGTGCTTTGTTGTTGTTATATCATATCGTACTAATGAGCTTACTCGAATCAATTTTCTACTATCAAGTTGCGGATTAACATCTATCGAAGGACTGGAAGATAATGTATATCTAACAATATCAGACTTTGAATGTTCCACTCCCGCTATAGTAGAAGGCGCCAATTTGACATATTTTGATGTACTAGGAGAACCTTCGAGGCAAACTGGGCTGTAATTTACCGTCAAGATGAAGTACCAAGGTAATAATACATAAAACAGTACTTGTATTCAGTACGGAAACAGCACCCCTTTCTTTTTTTCTCTCAAATTTGTATGAACAGGGGATAAATATGCAGCATATCCAAAGTTGAATATATTGAGGGGCAAAGAAACTTTGAAGCGTCTAGATTGTAGTAGATTGTATACGCCAGATGCTTCCCATAGGCGGAGTCAAGATGCTTGGCATGGGCTCCACTATAGCCCGTGAGGCTGGGTGAACGGCGACCTTGACGTTGCATGGTAAAGGTCCCCGAAAAAGATCATCCAACTTGCTATGGTGCCAACAGGCACCTTCAGCAAGGTTCGTGTGACTTTCATACAGGGGTTTGGATCCCCCTAGGCAGGTGCAATAATACACATTGAGTCATTTACGTACGGAGCGGAGTAGCCGCCAATTTATATTTAATCCATGGATCTTTTTGGCCAAGTCAGCCCCGGAGGTCAGGTCCAGCTGCGGCTGAATAGTCAAGATTTTATGAACAATAAAGAATATATCTCGTTATTAAGAAAGTAAAAAAAAACCTCCCAAAGAAACCCGGAACAAAGTACGTAGTATAGACCAGGCGGTGCTTGGGCCTATTTCTTGTGCCCTTTTAATAGAATTTGCTAACGATCCAGACCCTCTTTCACATATAGCGCGGATTCTCATGAATAGTTGTATTTCATATGTGTAGTGCACGCAAATGGATTTGACTTCTTACTAAGTTAGAGGCGATGGGTCTTCCAGGGTTTATAGCAACAATTAGGGCTTTGGATCTTGGATCCCTCAGAATTATAAATGATCCCGGCACAAGTACAACAGTATAACATTCTGACAGATACTGTCAATGAAGCAAGCAGACTAGATAAAGAAAACGAAAAACGATGGTCACTAATTCCAGGATAAATCCGAGCTATGGGCAATCTAAACTGCAGACCAGGCGCCGCCTAGGACTTTGGCCTGAATTTATCGATTACTTTCCTCCTGAAAGATTGAGAGCCGCTGCTATCCTGGCGAGGGGTGTCGATTTCCACCTCCATCTTGACCTGCGCATATTGGTCATGGAAGTCATCTCCTGAAGACTTGCCTCGTTTCATAAGGGCGGGGGCCAGGACTAGGTGTATCTCATATATCTGTCCGTGGTGTCTTTTTTGAATTGACGTGTGCACCTCCTTATCAAACTGGCAGGGCAGTTTCTTAGGGAACTCCCAACTCCATAGCGCGACTTGTTGGCTCAACACTAGGTCCAGTTCCAAACTTTCGTTCAAGAGCTTCACCAGTGGGTCATAGAGAGTTCGCTTATCATGGCAGACAATGGGCTCTAGTAATCCAACTAGCTTCTGTGCCTTGGCTGAAACAAAATGATGCTGGCTGTCACGGATCTTGTGCGCATTCTCATTCAATCCCTCAAGCACCATGTTGGTCGTATCAGCTCTCCACGTTATTTGCTTCCGTCCTACCTCTGTTTCTTCGTTCGACCAAGCCTCCTGCGACGGCTCTGGGTAGATTGTTAGTTATTGGATCATAGGCGGGCTCTCGCTTCGGTAGGAAATACCTATCAAACCACGGAGGGTTCTCATTGCACTCCTTATATCTGGAGGCGCCCAGAAGAATTTATCAAAGACCTCCTCGTATAAAAAAGTCCATATGAAAGGACGGAGAATTTTTGGACGAGCCGAAGGGGATTCTATGTAGGTGGCCAAGGCATCCTCGGATACACAAAGATATTTTTTGAACAAAGAATATGAATTTTTCAGATTGGGATGATCACTTTCGTGAACCTCGCCAAAATGTTCAGCAAAGGTGCGGATGGTCGACCGCAGACGTTTGGCCCGTGTTGTGATCGCTGCATCTTCAAGCTGGTGGCGAACTTGGTTGGGGTTTATTGTGCTTCCCAGTTTGTCGTTGGCATCATTCAACAAGCCAATAAATTTTTGAACGTCTTGCTGCCTTTGATGTAGCTTAAGATGTGTTCGATTATGTGCCTCTCTCTCCTTTGCTAATCCCTCTTCAGACTCTGTGCATCTTGCTTGCCAGGCGGTTACCTCGGAGGAGAAGGTCCGTTCGGCAGCCTCGAGGCGATTTGCTTTCTCACGCTCGGCCAGCAGCTCGTCCCTTTGCTGGAGGTATCTTTGGCGCCAGTTATCGACCTCATTGGTATGTTCGGGGGCACTGAGCATGGGAGTCCCAGCCCGGCTTCCGTGCTCCCGTGGGTGTGGATTTATTTGCGACAACTTCACTGGGGAACTCGAGATGGGCAAGGGTACTGGACTGCTGCGGGCACTTCTGCCGGTTTCATGAATAGGAAGGTTCTGATCGGCAGCCATTGTAACTGTCCTTGGGGGAGCCTGGGGCTCCGCTCTATAACTTCTGGTTCCTGCTCCATTGTAACTGTGATATTTTGCGCCGACACCGAAGTTGACAAAGAATTCCAAGTAAGTGAAGCGTGCACTTGAACTTTCCTTTTCTGAATCAACCACTAAGTTTATTTGGGATCCTAGGGGAGGGGCAGGTTTTGTTATGTTGGCGCTGATGCTAGTTTTGCCGAGTTTAAGCTGGGGGTCGAGGCTCTCAATCTGACCTTGCTGTATATAAAAACGGGCTAACCCGTCCTGCATGTCGTCTGCAGTAGCATAGCGCTAGTAATTTGCATACAAGTGGTCAAGTAAAGTTGTGCTGTAATGGACAACGTGATTGGTGGACTGTGAAATTCAGCCTCACGACGTGGCAATCACCTGGGCGCTTCAGAAAAGTGAGATGGTTAACTCATATGCAGTCAGCATTGTGTCACGGGCCTTCTCAACGTAGGGGTAAGATTGACAGGGGCGTATACCCTAGAGAGTCTAGAAACATTAGCATAAGCATACAAGCCTAAGCGAAACAAAATGCTGCGTGTGACTTCATGCAGCAGTAATTTCCACGGGCTTCTCGATATCATGATACGGCATGCAGGGCTTCGGCGAACGTGAAGCGAATGGCTGAGGTGGCCGAGAATAGTGGAAAAATAATTATTAACTCGGCACACTCGCACCAACAGGCACGATAAAAACACCTGAATGTTCTTGCCATTTTATCCTTGCCGTGAAATTGAGATTATTAACGTTGGACTACCAAAATGTCGGGAAACGGGGGGAAATACATGAAGAAATCCTCGGAAGTGTCCACTTCTAAGAGGGAAAAGTACCTCGGTTGGATGACCAAGAGCAGACAGGCGGCCATGCATAACTGCTTAATCATTGGTATTGATTTCGGAACAACGTGGGTCTTACATCTAAACCTCAGCTGAAAGTTCCGATGCTGATAATCGGTTGATAGGTTTTCCGGTGTATCGTGGGTAACGGTAGCCCGCTTCAACAAGAACGATATCAACGTTATCACCGAGTGGCCTGGGACCAGCAATAATGAAGCAAAGGTTCCAACTCGGCTAAGCTACGAGAACGGGACTAAAGAGCCTTTATGGGGGTTTCAAGTTGAAAACACCGAACAAGCGTTACAATGGTTCAAGCTCCTTTTGTTAAAAGAGGAGGACATGTGGAAAGATCTTCGGGAGTCAGACCAGCTTGTTAAAGCTAGAAGGCTGCTTCGCGATTTGGGAAAAACCCCGGAGGATTGCATTGCAGACTATCTTCGCGCACTTTGGAAACATACTCTCAAGATGATTCGCAAGGGCCACGCAGATTACCTGATTGAATCCCTGCAGTTCCATGTGGTTCTCACTGTGCCCGCTATCTGGAAAGATTATGCACGTACTGCCATGCAAGATGCCGCCAAAAGGGCTGGTATTCTCGAGCATCGCAGCGCCGGTGAGACAACCTTGATCCTTGTACCCGAGCCCGAGGCAGCCGGATTGACAGCACTGCTTGAATATGGTACCGCCATTAAGCCAGGCGAAGTGTACGTTATTTGCGACGCTGGAGGTGGGACCGTGGTAAGTGGCCTTTGGTTCTGTGGAAAGAATAGTATTTAACGCGGTGTCAACTGATCCTTTAATGATTTCAATAGGATGTGATCACCTACAAAGTTGGGAACACTCAACCTCTCGAGTTGGGCGAGGCTGTCGAAGGCGATGGTGAGCCAATGCCATTCCCCACTCATTCTGGCCCAGATAAAGATATACCAGTCGCTAATATACTTACAATGTACAGGCGCTCTTTGTGGTGGGATGTTCATTGATGAAGATTTCATAACGAAATGCTCAAAGCGTATTGGTCGCAACTGGTCTCACTTCAGTCAAGCACACCAAAACGCCATCCTGGAAGATGAATGGGAAGTCGACATCAAATCACGATTCTGTCTAAAAGACCCCAGCGCTAAATGGCTGCTATCCATTGAGAATGGCCCACTATCGGGTGAAGACTTGGAAGATACATCCCGCATGCCTCACATCAAGAGAGGCATTATACACTTTTCAAGGAAAGTTTATTTCAATCAACCCACTACGTATCCTCTACTGACTTCAGATTCAGCTCTGACATTAGGGAGGTCTTTGACGCCAGAGCTACTCCTGGGCTTCTTAAACTAGTGGGCACGCAAATAAGCAAAGCTCAAGGCAAAGGTCTTAGTGTGACGGTAAGTAATGCCTCGTTTCTATAAGGCTTGAAATACTCATTTCATATCAAGGGAATTGTTCTTGTCGGAGGACTCGGCTGTAGCGACTATCTACTTGAATCCCTTCTGATCAAATATGGCAGCCAAGACATCGGTATTTATCGTTCCAAAGACAAAGACCAAGTGTAAGTCTTCTAGTTATGGTGGGTCTTGCTGCAGCATACTTATCTAAGATTTTTCTAAAAGGCGTTCTGCCATCTGCCGTGGGGCCATTCTCAAAGGTCTTATAGCTGCTCCAATCGACGATTATATACCGAACGCTCCTCGTATCCTTTCAACTATCTCCAGAACATCTCTGGGTATCCCAATGACGTACGATTTTCAGGAAGGAGTTCATCGCGAAAGCAATAAGTTTTTCCATAGGGTTGAGGGCTGTTACAAAGTGCGTGATGTGATGCATTGGTATATTGAAAAGGTATGCTATGCCGCCTACTATATTCTCATTTTGGGGACTATCATTCTAATTTCTAATGTATTTGGACAGGGGAAAGAGGTTGAAACAGATCGTCCTATCAGGAAGAAGTTGTATAGGTCACGGAGCATGGAAGCCGACCTACCCTCTTTCTTAGATTTCAAGATCTTTCAGTGCGAGAGTGAGCATCCGCCTAAGTACAAGAATCACCATGTGACGCTGCATTCTACCATTGTGTTCCAGCTTGGGCAGTTTGGATCCAGTGCCTGGGAAGTATACAATGCTTCCAATGGTCGAAGGTTCAAGAAAATTACCTACACACTTGAGATGGTGCCATCTGGTGCCTCCACGCAGATTTCAGTGTGGGTCAAAGGCCAGAGGCTGGGATCAAAGTATATATCGATTCAATTTGACTAGCGGCATCACTCTTGCGATATCATACGTGAATAGAGCAGTGTAGCGCATAAGAACCTTCCAAGGTTGGAATTTCTCAAAGCAACGAAAGTAGAAGATATGGCCTGGCCATTTCCTATGACACATCGTAGAGTGATTGGGAGTCTATAGCTCCACGCTTGCTGGATTCTGGTAGTTGTCAACCATATCATATCCCGTATATCGAGGGGAATCGATGTTTGCACATGGGAGATGGACACGGATTTTAGCCTCGGAAGATCGTTTTATAGTCTAGAGACAACCGCCGTAGAGTCCTGCGAAGGAATGAATTCTTGATGCCTGACCTGTTAAAAGGTTACTTAATGTGGCAAAAAAAAGATATCATGGTAAGAGCGGGTTTCGAACCCACGCCTCTTTCGAGACCAGAAAGCACACTAAAGTGATACTTAAGTCTGTGTGATATAATTAGTGGAAATTCTAATATACAAGAATAAATGGTAACGAACCTGGCGCCTTAGACCAACTCGGCCATCTTACCGCTAAACGACAATCATTTTGCTCCTTAGAATGTTTCAAATTAATTGGATGATCCAAGTCGATTGACCGCTTGCGGGTAGCCTTTTTCTGCCAAACCCTTTTTTTTTCCTCATCAAAAGTATCCAATTAGTCCGTATACAATCCATGGATACTCCAATTCACTTCATAAGGGAAGTACTGTGGCATAGTTACATAGTTGATATCACATTGAGATTGTTTGCACTGTGATGCCGCTTCCACCTCTGTTCTTGAATAGCACTGTTTCTTTCTGGCTTGTAACACAAGTTACATTGATACTCAGTAAATGTTTTTCAAGATATTCATTTCTTGATTTCTTCGCATTCAAGGGATAATACATACAATCTGTCTTCATGGTACCACTATAGGTTATGTGATGGGAATAACCTTGAAGCTGTAAATCTGGTTGTTCCTTCTATTGGCCTACAATGTACATACTACTTCCTTGCGAATATACATCCGGTCTATAGTGAACCCGTTATTCCCCTCCACCCTTTTTTTTGGAAGAGATCTAATAACACGCAAGATACCCTCAATAAGTTGTATAAGTTATTTATCATTATCTAGATCACTCAGTAATTGTAATCGATTTTCTTTCTATGGACTGGAGGGGTAATCTACGACATCAGCAATACATGTTGACTACATACATGCACACATATGTTGTATAATAGAGTTGGTCCAATCCATAGTGCATATGGTAGAATCCCCCAATCCCATAGTATGGAATAGTTTGTTTCAACGCCCTATTGATGATAGAATCACTAGAAGATGTCATGATTAATGTTGTTTTCGTGTAGATCGTTGCCTGAGGCGACGATGAAGTAATCGGATGTTAGCACTAAGCCCAAAAGGGCATCCGTGCAACGTCGACCCTGCCATCTAATCGCAAGCCCTCGAGCCCATTGTTCTTCCATAAATTCCTGGTTTGGGTGTGGTGCTTGTTTTCTGTTCTCTTTTTTTGGGGTTGTGCCAGTTTGCCTGCTCCAGCTGAGCCACGCTCGTTTCTCAATAGAGGACCCGATTGACAGCACCGTCCAGCCCACCCTCGACCAACAATCCGGGGTGCAATAGCTCCTTGCAGGGCAAGCCGACCTCAACTTGTGCTGATCTGCTTCCAATGTCCTGACACCATCGTATAGGACTCGACTACTGCGCTACACACAGTCAACGGGACCCTCTTTCATCTGGAGGGGAACAGCCTATCGTGGTCGCCGAGCAGCTCATACGTGGAGGCCAGAGCTATAGGTCTATGGCGGAGAACAAGCGTCAGGCTTCAGTAAAGGGCTCTGCGCAGAAACAATCCGGTAACGCAGCAGGCCCCGGGATGGCAACTCCCATAGTGCCCTTGGAGGCAGCACTGAGCGGGGCGATCGGTGCCCGGTGAGTCTTATCTGTCAACGAAGGTGTACACATAATCGCAGGTGCTGACCTATTCTGTTCTCGTGTTTTAGCGTTCGTATTACGACTGCGCAACCAATCTCATCGACTTTCGAAGGTACACTGTTCACGGCATGCCCGGTCACCAACCTCGTCGCCGTAAACACGGCCCCCGCACTTAACCCCGGTGACGCCAAACAGGCGCAGAATGGCGACTACCGTGTGATCCCCATCTCGCGCATCCAAAACTTCCAGCTCCTCGCCCTCGCTCCGCCCTCGAACTCCACCTCGTCCTCGTTCACAGACGCACAGCCCACGATCCAGGCACTCGACACCCGTGCTCTCAGGGCCCGCGAGTCAAAGGCCATCGGTGAAGCGCTTGAACGTGAGGCGCGTCGTGGTAAGGGCGTCACTACCCAGGCCCAGGATCTATTTGATGCTTTCAGTCGCACTATGCCCGCACGATGGAACGGCCACAACATTATCGTCGCCGATGCTGTGACAATTGCTGCTCCCTACCGCGTTGATGATTGTCGATCGATCGTGGAGGGCGATACCGCTGCTCTCGCTCGAGTGCGCAAGGTGGTAAGTTTTTTTTATTTTTTAGTTATCAGTCCCAACAAATGGAGTTAACATTGTGAAACCTAGCTCGAGATGGAGCGCAAGAAGATTGAGCTTCGCAATGCCAGTGCTACTATCGGCTCAACTAGCACTTTCTCTCGCCACCCCAGTGTGCCTAATGACCAGCGCAAAGGCGGATAATTTGCCCAATCACGCAAATACCGAAAAACCAGTCCTCCAATGAAGCTGTGGATAGGTCTGGCGTCGGGTCGAGCGTCTTGGTGGCGCTTGATCAACAAAGTTGATGAAGATACCCAAGCGAGAGAGAAAAACGATATTGCAATGGGATGGAGATGATTCGACAGCGGATCCGACGGGACACTGCGCGTTCTTGACTGGGGATGGTCTGCTTTATTAAGAAAATATATGCCGTGGACCAGCTTTCCGCGCGTTCTGCTTACCATCAAGTTGGACCGTTTGCATTGCTGCCAGCCTATTTGCCTTGTGTCTTGTTTTTGGGCGTGTCAACGCGCTCAAGTAGAGAATACGAGACAACCCATAGTAACCTAGCCAATTGCTACGACAACACTTTCTTAGGACAATGATATTGCACCCTTCCGCCATTGGTTCTTCTGTAAATGTGTCTTATTTTCATAGCTAGTGACGACTCTGCCCGGATATTGACCGACATGAGAGTAAAACAGAAATAAACATGCGATGAACACTGAAAGCAGACATCTAGATGGCTGGTTGGTCAAACGGCTCAAAAGGACGCTCAAAAATAATAGAAAATCAGTATGCCATCAATTGTCGTGAGATATTTGCAAGAATTTAGCCTAGCTCTCTGCAACGGGAACTCTCCCAGGAACAACCTCACAGACGGTCCCCACAAACCCTTCCAACCCTGACATGGACGCCGTCCCAGAAACAGAGCTAGAGCCAGGCGCAGATGCTACAGTGGGCCCGGATTGAGACGCTGCAGACACCATGGAGACACCAGGCATAACAAGAACCTGAGACCCAAGTTCCACCCATTCAATAGACGATACCAGCGCAAAAGTAATCTTGACGTCTTCTTTCAGGGCTTCAATTGAAGAAGCAGCTCCGACAATAGAGGCAGACGAAAGGCCAGACATTACTTTGCTGATATCTGTCGCCGAGGGACGACGACGAACTGCATCACCTGCGCCGTCGACGGCCTCGTTTGTTGTAGGACTGCTGTTTGATTTCTCACTAGGAGAATGAGGATCACCGTCAAAGCTGAAGAATTCAGGTTCCGTCGGAGAAGGCGGTTCAGAAGATACTTCCTCTCCAGTCCCAGTTAACGCCATGCAAATGACACGGACAGTAGCTCGGATATTGGCAATGTATGCAATAGCATTACCTCCAAGCAACAGTGGAGGAGAATTCGGAGCAGAGAACTCGGTAGATCGGAAGGTGGCTGTAAAGCCCGTGTGGAAGGGTAGCGTTAATAACGAGGAGGCAGACGAGGTTCCATTCGAGGACAAGAGTGGGGCGTGGAAGTTTGAGAGAATCATGCCCTTTCGGATCCGACCGAAACGCGGTAGACGGCCATCGTCTGCAACGCCGATCGGTTCGATCCCGATTGTCCCGACTTGGTCTTTAATTAGACGACGGACAGGAAGTCGGAGGTCTCTTACGCTGACGACGCGGATACGTTGCCATCGTGCTTGTGAATCCTTGCCGGACAATGAGTTCTGCGGGAAGGATGCCGGGAAATCTCCCGGCGGGCCGGGCCCACTGCGGGACAGTGACCCTCCCGATGGTTGGGGCTCATTGACCTGGTCGGTTGGAACGTCCACTAAGATGGGGCCAATGACCATTTCATCGCCGATGGAAATATTCCCGCGACGGACTAGGCCGCAGAGAACCATGCCGCGGTTTTCTTGGCCACCTTTTTCAGAGTCTAGTGAATAGACTTTGGAGGGAGGGATCGCAAACACTTCGTCCACATCAAAGATATTGGCGGAGCTGTGAGAGGGTATTGGCAGGTCTTTAGGGATGTGAAGAGTTCTTTGAGAGGGTCGCGTGGGAATGGGAAGAGATCGGAGGAAGGCATGGAGTTTTCCAATGCCAGAGCCATCCACAGAACTGGTAAGAATTATAGGTACGGTGTGTCCCCATTTTCCATCGCCTGCCGCGCACACTTTCTGTACTTGAGTGTTGTCCAACGTGCTGACTTGCTGAAGATCAAGTGGTTTGTCGCTTGCAGGTGCTGCGGGTAGCATTGCAGGTTGTCGTCCAGCCATTTTAAGAGCAGATAGAACTCTTCCAAGATTGTCTCGTAGTCCGCTGCGGGAAGCAACATCCAATTTGGTAATGACAATCAACACAGGAATATCTAGCTTCAGGCAAAGCTCTAGATATGACAAACACGTATCGATTTCTGATTGCTCAGTTCCTGCTTGTTCGCTGGGTGTCTCAGCACCACAATTAGCTGGAATACAAAGCATCACATAATGTGGAGCCCAGCTGACAAGTCCCCGCAAGGTAGATTTCAAATATCGAACAGAGCCGGGTAGATCGGACACAAAGGCTAAACGACCTCCCTTCGACGCGGCATGGATATCATCCCAGCCGGCAACATTGCCGGAAGCGTAGTTGATCACGGTTGGTGGCACCTCATCCGTGTACCCAATTAATTCCTGGGCAACCGAACTGGTGATGCCCGATGTAATTTCGTGCCGATGCTTGAGCAGACTCAACCTGCTTTTTCCTCTTCCATTGTCAAGCGCAGACGAAGTCAATGTACCCAACAAAGAAGTCTTCCCTGCAGTGCTTGGACCTGCGAGAGAAATGCGAATCTGCTCAGTGTGGGAATAATCCTCATCTAAGACCGGCATGTTCCCCACTTCTGGGTGTGGGGCGGTTTTTGTGTTGTTCTCGGACTTGATCGGAGGGATATTGTAGAAATCCAGATCGGGACTAACCAGAGCCTCGGCGACCCAGAGACTTTCGATGTTGCTTTTTGATTTGTCGGCAACTGCAGATGGCAAGTCTTCAGCCCACTCACAATTCCCAACCACAACTCGGCGAAGGATCTCAACTTTACACCCAAGACTAGCAGCCATAGCCTGCAGAGTGGTCACACTCTCATCCAACTCATCTTGCGTGAGGCCTACGAAAGTGCCATCATCGCCGACACCGATCTCATACAAGGCACCTTGACTCTCTTCAAGACCAGGAAGCAAGCGGGCGGGTTTAGAAGGCACATCCAATTCCAGGGCTGCCTCTGGAAGAACAGGCACCACAAGGTTAGAGGTGGTGGATGAGTGAAAAGGTGAAGATTGCTGCAAACGCCACAGGAGCTGGGTAGTCAACCCTTGTAGTCGTTGATGGCGACTCTGGCTGGACTTGGCTTGCATGGGTCTTGGGGTCTGTTCCAGGACTGGGGATGCAGAGATAGACGTGTTTGACATGGCGCGATAATTATGATGGTACGAGCCAGCTATTACATGCCCGGTCGACATAGAGAGATAGGGGCGTCTTGGTCGAAGCAGAAGGTGCAATTTGTACTCAGTGGGACCCTCTTGGGGCTCTGGCTCCAATTTGGATATTCCATAGTTGGATAACAAGTCAGGATCGACGCGTAGTGGAGTGGTGCTGGAACGCGTGCGGATAGCTAAACCCCGACTACCAGATGCATTGATTTGGGGAGTCGATGATCCCGAAGTTGACCACGGGGATGACACCCGAGGTGGGTCAGGGTCATAGGTGAAGATGGATGCCATGGGCAATGTTACAATTCAGGCTGGTAACAAACGTATTGGTAATAGGCACAGATATGGAGATAGATAAAGCAGTTCTAAAACTCGAGCAACATAAGGCATTCTTGCAGTAGAATTGATTTGATTTCTGTGATGAAGTGCAGTTCAACTGACTCACAAATGGCACGGGCCGAAGCATCACGTGGCCGCTATTTATCCGATGCCAAGAAATTGTATGTACGAGAAGTTCTATTAAGACATCAAGCCTTTGCTTTTCAGAGAATTTTGTTTTTCGACTCCCCAAAAATACACATGCATATTAAGGAAATCCAGTCCCGCTAGAATTGAGCGCCTTCGCTTTAACACCAAAAACCAAATTGTGTATATGTTGTCTACTCAGCGGATGAGTCCCTGCCTGAGCTTTTACACTTGCCCTGCGCAACATGGATGTTGCGTGCTGTTGTACGCGTAAACACCGCACCGCAGATTGGACATTCAGCCTTAGCCACAACTCCTGACTTTTCTCGCTGGTGGCGGAGGAGATTGCTGAATGTTGAGAACTCACGACCATTGCAGCCATGGTCCCAGCATTGCGGTCGCGGGCGCAAGCTCAGTACTCGGATTGGGTCAGAATCTGTAGCGGCGGCTGACTCAGGCGAAGAGTAGATCGGCTCTGGGGCGGTCATCGATGGTGGCTGAGAGGTGATGGGGGTAGGGTGCGGTCTAGTTTAGGTTTCAGGTCAGTATACCGCATTCTGTGAATTCATTGACTCAACTCACGGAATGGCCGATGTTTCAGGGAAGTAATATGAAGGTTGGTTTATCAGATAAGGAGGAGCACTGTCCCTAAATGTTAGCAAACAGATCATTCGACCTTATACACTTTGAGGGATTCATTCGACATACGACGTCATGAGATGCTGCTCTGACTGGGGAGTGCCCGAAGCAGATTGGGTGTGATAGGAACGAGCGGTGGGTGGGCTGCATTGGACATGTCAGTCTTTTTGAGGCCAGGTAATCAATCAACTTTCAAGGTTACCTTCGAGGTTGACTATGACGGGAAGGATTGCCGGATGCTGCGGGATAAGACGCCGGTAATTGATGTTCTTGGTGTTGATATCCAGGAAGTGGCCCATTTAAGTGACTAGGATAACCCATTGGGTAGCCCGATGAAGGGTATGACGGATGTGAAGATGGAAATGGCGGGCTCATTTGTCCTGGTGGTTGCAAAGGCTGATAAGGTCGGTTTGTCCACCCATATTCTGAAAGCATTAGTAAACACCTCTTAATAATATCTGGATGAACTTCGTACGGTGAGAATTATGCTGCATTGGGCCAGCAAAATAAGTGTCTGAAGCTACTGACATGGGGTATGATGAGATGCCAAGGCCGCTGTTGAGGGGATGCCCTAGTCAGCACAGAACCTAAGTCGTTTCTCATGGCAATTTAGCTTGACATACCGCGGATCTTCCGACCCAATTTCGTGTTTAATATGAGTTATGTCCCCGATAGAAGATTGTGCTGTTGACTCTGTAGGTGGATAGTTCGAGCCTGGCAGAATGGGAGGCCGACTCGTGCCGGTATTTGTTGAATGGTGCGAGGGAAGTGGCAGTGCAAATCCTTGTGTTGATTGTAAATCACCTTGCACAACAGAAATAGAACTCTGAATGTTCTGGATGGGCCAGTGAGAGCCTAATCCAGGAAGAACGCTTTGTGAAAAGTCAGAAGTTTCCACTGATTGGACTGGGGACGAAAGTCCAATGTTCGATTTCGAGCCTGAGACTGGCAGATTTGATTGATTCCTGGAAGAAAATGGTTCCTGTGAGCCAGATCCTCTGGGAAACATTAGGAACTATATAGGTCTCCGACCTGTGAGATTGCAAGTACTGTGGTAGGGGAGGGGCCAAGACGGAGTATAAGGGGAAAAGCGGCACTCAAGGCAGTCAACATACAGTTTGGTAACCCGATCCGAGTATTCCCTCACTATGGTGAAAGACGTTTTTTTTTTTTTTGGGAGGATTTCAATTGGGGGTACAGAACGGGCACGATGAAGTATTTAAAAACTCATATCCAGCAACGGGCGTTTACTAGTGACCCCCGCAATCGTTTTATGATCTAAAAAGTCCCAGTTGGGTAGCGCTGCTGGCCCACAAGTTCAGAAACCAACACCAACTGCTAGATTTCTTATGCGCCACTGGTGTGCATCGATCAGTGCCAGGTCTACTAAAACGTACCCTTGTGCCCACCCGCTTATTCACCGTCTCAATTGCATCTATTGTAGAAGATTATTGGTTTGAACCACAAGAAGCCCGACTAGAAAAGCAAAAACAAAAAAAACAAAAAAATAAAAAAACAAATCCCAAGATCTCCAAATGAGGTGGGCCGATTGGAACTATCACGAGCAGAGTCGGACTTTTGACCCCCACAAATGACGGGTAAAACAGAAGATATGCGGGAAGAGGACTCGGAACTGATTGCGACTGGGGCCATCATCTGTACAGTAATGATCCTCATAAGGGGAGATGGCAATCTTGGCCTGGGCATTGGATCGTTGAATTCTAGCCCCCATTATACAATGGGGGCGGATTGGGGGCCACAATGCTCCCTATAGTCTAGCGCGTGGCTAGATACTCCGAGATTTGACCTTATGCAATTCGAAAAAGAAATATAAAATCGGGAAAATACAAAAAGAAAATATATAAAAAAATATAAAAAAACTGCTCAACACTAACTTGAAGTTGTGAGTTCCACCATCCCCGGCCCGATGCTTGTCCCCCTATCGCTCTTGGCCCCCACAAAAGGCGCCGTTGGAAAAAAAAAAAAAAAAAAAAGAGAGAGTTTATATTATTATGAACCACTACGGAGTACCTATCTAGGAGAATTAGAGTTATTAATGGAGACCAATATACAATATATAACTTTTCATTCTTTTTTTTACTAATTTTTTTTTTTTTAAAAAAATAGAAGAACTCAAAAGAAAAATACCAATGTCCCCATCTAGGTAAATGATAACATTAAATGCCCCTATGCAAATGCTAAGATTTCAGCCCCAGATAATTCCGTTCTAGTAGGGATGTAGTAAAGCCCGATCCCCGATTCTATATTAGCCCCGAAGAACTTCCATTGTACCGACACTGTGGTACTATACGAAGTACTCCGTATGTCTTGACACGAATATCCGAAAATATTGGGGTCCATGGCTATTGTAGGCAGCCGTGTATCAATATGGCAAAGCTGTAAGTAATGGTGGATCTTGTCACAGAGAAACACAGCCAAGACAAATTGTAATTTGCCAGGGTCATGATATGTTCGACTCTGATTTAGTTGATTTAGCGCCCAAGAAATTTGTCAATTTAACCATACTTCGAAATTGAGGGCGCCAAAAAAATCCAATCGCCCCTAGGTTCAGGCACGGTCATGATCGACTCACTCCACAAGGGATCCGCAGATGTATCAGTTTGATTCAAGACATGTGGTTTCTACTAACTAATGCACGGTTGATCATTTACACCTCGTGGCCGATTACGGAGTGCGGACAACGGAACAGAAAATAAGGCCATATTCCGAACCCTTTTTTTTAAAGCCGGGATAGACGACGATCTTTAGTTTCTTGGGTTTGGGGTTAACGCTGTTTGACATGTAATGACAGACTCGGCCAAAAACGGCCCCTTCAATGCCACCCTGATTTTTCATTGATTCGGCTTCTTTTGCCGCATCCTCCGGTATTTGGATGGTCTCATCTACTTTGACAAGGTTGTACTATCCAGTACGCCTTGCTCATGTTCATGTATTATGTAGGTTAAGATGTCACATTAAGGCTGTGACTACTCCGTATTGGATGAAACAATCGGCCATTCTCATCTTATTCTGCTAGCATAAATTGCAAGTCTATCAAAATGCTGTTGGTCATTTTCCCAACAAGAGATAACGGATTTGAAATCAATCATATACCAAGCCTTGGCATACACATTTGCTGTGTAAGCTCCTAGGATTTCTCCAAAATAAACTAATTGAGAGGTGAAGTGATGGGGACAGCAAGGGCTGCAGAGACGCCTGTACATGTCACCCGGCCCAAATTCAGGACAATAAGCAAGGCTTATTGGGAGAAAATGAACATGGCATTCCCGTTGGTCACACGTTGATCCTATGAGATACAATGCAACATTAACACACCGCTCACCTGCATATAAACTACGAGTGCATGAAAGCCGTTGAAGCCTATGAGACCTTTCCAGGTACAAGAAACCTTTGAAACCCGCCATTTTTGGTCATATTATTGCTTGCCAGGAGTAATAAAATGTCCAATCTGCTTATCTAGTCTATAGAGCCCACTTTTCTCAACACTTGGACTGGTGGAAGATTGGGTTGAGTATGCCACACACGCTCAGAACTAATAGGTCAAAGACGAAACAAGTGAACCTATTACAGCAGCTTTTTTTTTTCAATTATTTTGAATTGAAAATCTCCAATGTAAATGTTCCTTATTGTATAGAAAGTTGAATATACGAAGAATGAAATTCCAACCTCAAAGACTATGTGAAAACCAAATCACGTGACTGATCTCACCTGATCAGATCTTCTCTGATTCTGGGATCCAACAGCATCATCAAAATCAACGCGTTTTTTTTGGTCCCCACAATCTCTAGCTATCTGCTGGTGTCTTCAACTGTTTATTAAATTAAGACTGCCCTCAGCTTACAGCTTACTGATTCACCATGAAGCTCGTCCGGTATGTGCTCAGCTTTATTGTGCGCGGCAATCGTCAGCTCCGCTTGACGCACCGAGCCCTCATCAAACCCACTCCTACTAACATTTAATGATCCTTCTAGCTTTTTGATGAAGTGTGCCAACGAGACGGTGACCGTTGAGCTGAAGAATGGTGAGAACCCCTCGCGCAATCCCCGCAATCCCCAACCTTACCTCCCCTCGAATATACCAATCCTCGAAGTAGGCGAAAGAACTGTGCTCTCTGACTTTCATTCTTCTTCTAGGCACAATCCTTCACGGCACTATTGTGTCCGTCTCTCCCCAGATGAACACTTCTCTCCGCGCTGTCAAGATGACCCCCAAGGGCCGCGATACTGTTTCTCTCGACACTATCAACATCCGCGGTTCTACGATTCGCTATTACATTCTCCCCGACAGTCTTCCCCTTGATACCCTCCTTGTCGACGATGCGCCCAAGCCCAAGAACAAGGCCCGCAAGGAGACAGACCGTGGTCGTGGTGGTGGCCGTGGCGGACCACGAGGCCGTGGAGGGCGCGGAGGTCCCCCCCGCGGTCGTGGTCGCGGGCGTGGATTCTAGATTTTCTGTTTTCTTCTGAGAGAACAACCCGGCGTTTGTTTCTGTCTTCGAAATTCGGTTTGATTTTGCATCACATGGGATACAATCTGTTGTTCCTTTTTTTTTTTTTTTCTCTACTACCCAGGCCAGGGGTCCCGATTTGGATGGTGGATGACATACTGGAAAAAAAAGAATTAAGCAATTTTACCGGGGAATTTTTCCCCCCACTCTGAGTCTGCGCTCCTGGATATCATATGCTCGGAGTTTAACGCTCTGACAGAAAAATTAGCTGAGCATTAGCTATCAAAAGTACTGAGACCACCCGAGAGAAGGATACTTACAAGCTGGCTGTGATGAGATCCACCTTCTTTCCCTTCACTTTCAATGCATGATTCTAGGACATGTTAGTGTGAGACAATGACCGTATGCCAAGGGAGGCTTTGATATCTAGAAAGGACACTCAGCCATGATCTAAGCCACCGCAATGTTGAAACAGATAATCGAAAAACGTCATATTTTTATGAACACGTACATCATAGACATGTTCCAATCTGACAAAGCTTTAGGCTATGTGCATGTCTTGTGACTCTTAGTATGTTCTAGGTTGATCTTTTTTTCCCCCGTTAAACTCTTCCAAGACTCGGTCTCACACATCGCCTCCGTGATTAGCAATCTAGGCTGAGACATGTTCATAACAAGACCTAAGATCTACGTACTACTCGGGTTCGTATTTCTCACGTTGAAACAACTATATTCAGGGCTTATTCTCGGAGAGACAACATAATATATTACTCTCCCCACAACTACTTAGCAAACTCAATATCAAAACGGCGCAGATCAAATTAGAGGTAAGATTACACCGAGACACCATGACTTACCCAAATAGGTAGGTAATATGGGATAGATGAGTTATTGCAGAACCTTATGATCGTTCGTTTTTGTTTTAGTGATCTGCGTACAAGGCGCAAGGATTTGAGACATAAAAAAAGCCTATCTCGGGTGGAACCAGGGGAGATGCTGCAAGAGAGCTGAAGTGGGGGGATTTTTTTTTTTTCAAACGATAATCTGAGACGTGAGTATCTGGTCAATACTCCTCGAAAGAGCCTTTAGCCAATGCTTCTAAAATATTATGCCACGAGGCAATCTTCCCGTTGTCCCCGTTATCCCCGTTCCTTCCGCGCCTCATGGATGCTCGGAACAGACTGATCCCGAGATCATTAGATGTTTCTATGTAGAGATGCTTTTTTTTTGTACTTTAAAGAATACCAGGATAGGTGCCTGAACTATTTGGATCAATAAGGCTATTACGGTAGTCCTTTTCCAGCTAGAGGGACTAGAGTCTGTTGATCCAGCACTTTAGACCAGGGTTCGGTACCGAGTAGAGTGATTCTGGTTAAACGGTTATCAAGTACAATTTCTGCCAAGGATGTTTTAAGGTGGTTAGTGAGGACCTTCGATTTCAGGGGTTGAATCCTCCCATGTACATCAAAATGTTAGGGTTTTGGCTTCCGAAACCTGTGGAGAAAAGTATTAGGATAGGGAATTATTATATGGACTCTACGAACGAGTACTGAGTACTATTGACTTATTTTCCTCGTCTGTATACTCTGTACTTTTTACCTGTGTGTATGTACATCGTAAGTATGGGAATCACATTAACTACATAGCATAGTACGTAACTACTCCGCAGTACGGAGTACATGTGGGAGTTTCGGAGTATATTTCCAAGCGTTGATCTATTGGCTGAATTGGTTAGTTAAATTGGTTAAATTAGTTAATTCTTTTTTTTCCATTCCTTTTTTTGTGATTGGACCACATTACGGCCAACTAGCGTGTCAGACGACACATCCCAAAGATCACCTCTACGCAAGCCTTTATTTTTCGATTACTCTATACAAACCCAGTAAATGTCTTTCATAATTCACAATTACCTCCACATGATCTTCGCTAGTATACATGTAACACAACCCTAACCCCGCCCAGAGCACGACACCGCCGATCTCAATGAGGACAATCCCCCCCTATACTCCGTACATGTACGGAGTCCTCGTTCAACGTCCCCGGTTCCGGTCCTATTTTGTCTTACTGGGGTGGGGGGCGGAAAAGGGGGGCTTGCGATCGTCGATCAGTTCTCGATCAGTCTTCGATCCCACGCCCTGTTCGGAGATTTTCAAATTTTTTCACATGCCAGAAGTCGTTTACAAAGTACGAGAAATGGAAAGATCGAATTAATTCGTAGGTGCGATGGATATGAAAGGAAGAGAAAGCAAGGGTGCTAGATCAGATGATCTCACGATGACAGCTGCCCACGTGGGCACGTGGAGACCCATTGAGCTGTGGGGACTACGGAGAAAGTATTTCACTGATTGTCCAAGTTTGCAGGTCGTTTAATTCTCAAAAGCAGTGGGGAATCGGCCGAATAGGGAACCAATTATATTCTTGACGATGTATATGCTAATTTGCAACTAATCGGATGATATAGCTCTAGGTTAAAAAAAAGTAGGTCCCAATTAGGAAAATGGTTTGGCGACCCACATCTATGGGTTTGTTCGTATCTTGCAGAATAATATCTCGCTTGGGATTTAGCGAAATTGAGGTGAATAAGCGACATCAAGATGATTATGCCTAAAATCGGTATGTAGCCTGTAAGGTCCACATAGAGGTATGTAGAGGTATATATCACCAATAAAATATACACAACTCCCGTACTTGACAAGCTAGACAATCTAACTAAAAGTGTTATCTTCTCTTTAGTAAACCAATCTAAATAAACGGTTACCTGCAAGAATTAAGCCCCCACCAAGCAAGTCGGTAGTTATAACTATGCAATAGCACAATGTAAGACCGGATCTTGTATTATAGCCCGCACATCTTTTTCTACCAAATGCCAATAAATGATTATGTGCTTGATCTGTTGGTTTGCCGCCTGGCTATCGTTAAATACATCGCCGAGTGATACTCCAAACATCTAAACATGTTACACTGGTACAATGCGATCATACGATTCATCCAAATCCACTAATCTCGTACTTGGCCCTTCCAGCTCAACCGGTTCTTTCAATTGTGGACGTGTCCCCTGAACGCCATCTTTCTCAAAGACAGGGTTGGAGTCCAATTCATGAATCTTGTACCGTGGAGTAAGGTTCTTAGTTTCTGCAAGCTCAGGTGGCTCCTTTCCCCTATCGTTCCCTCGGCGTTTTCGTCCATGAAGGATCCAAAACCCAATCCCTAGAATAACCAAGGTAGCCCTCCAACACCTGTGCCTGCTTTAGCACCCGTTGAAAAGCCCGGGGATTTCTCTTCTGACACTTGAGTCGTTGTTCTTGTTGTTGTCGGTGTCATAACTGCTGAAGTGGTGGACGAAACAAATGACGTAACTGGGGCCGAAGTAAGGTCAGTGGACTTCCAACGAAGCTCAACACCATACGCGTTCCAACCATCAATGCCCGATACGATAGAACCGATAGTGGTTTTTGTGGTACCGATTGCGTTTGTGTGCTTATATGTCCAGTTCATGTCGACCGTAGCACCGAGATCACAAGCCTCGATAACGGGCCAGAATTTGTCTATACAACAAGCTCGTGTAGTAAATGTCCAGCTACTTGGTCTATGGCGTCATATCAGCATTTTCCTGCTATGGCTTTTGACTACAGGTGCTTACTGGTAAATAGGGCAACATATCCCTATAGTCTCGCCAGCGCTTGTATAATTTCCGGCCATCGCCCAACCGCTAGGACAGATGATTCCGGGCGAATAGTATGTCGTTGGGGACCAGCCCGTTGGGAGACATTTTTAGGGATCTGTAGGACCTAAATTTGCCCATAATGATCTGGAGCCTGTGTAGACGGAATTTAATAACCAGAAGTCTGTGAGGCATTCAATGGCCGGCGTAAAGGTCGTCAGTGGGAGAGGTGGCTTCGTCGTGGTTGCCATTGTGGGATGCGTAGTGAAGCAGCAAGGCTTTGGATGAAAAAGAGTTTGGATGAGAAATAGGAGAGATCAAAGAAAGGGTTGATAAAATGACTGGTTGTAAAAACAACCGGACTACTAGCTGTGATTATCCGTGTCCAAGATGATATGCAGCCCTTCCGCTATTGCATGAGGAGAAGGGATGACCCGGCGCAAAGAGAGATAGGGAATGAATCATTTAAATGCAAAATCAATGAAGATCCATAAATAAATATCTAGAGCGTCATATCTATTACTCCGACTAAGAAGTGGTTGAAACTGTCTTCAGAAAACTACAATATGTAGTCAACCAGAACGAGAGCCTCGGGGTTTGCATGCCGTTATTAAAAGCCAGTCAGATCCTTTCCCCCCCTCCCCAAAAACATCCAAACAGACATACTAGAAACAGAAATAATCCAACTATGTCCTAGCATCCAGTCAATTGTACAGTTGACTTGGCATCACTGATGCGATGCGCTATCATGTTTGGCGTCTACAGGTTGGTGGGATTGCACCCGTAGACTTCTCTGTTATCGTTAAAAGAATGACTGTTTCTTCAGCAAGCTGATCAATGTCTTTTTCAAACTGATTGGTTCAATCTCATTATACGTACTCGTTTGGCGGTATAAAACACCTTTCATTCGAGGAGTAACCTTAGCCGGCGGTGGCATTTGAATAGATCAGAAGCAAGTCAAATATCTTGTAATATTCTCGGTTATTCCATAGAGCGATGTTTGCTGTTTGCCATGATCTCTCTGGCAACGCTGGACGGTATTGGCTTATTAAGGGCGGTGATAGGTGATCCAGTGTCGAAGACATCTCTTACTGGGCCAGCTATTTCTCCTTTCGTTCTTTACTTCTTCCGTCCCTCTTCGTTTTTTCGTCCATCGTTTTTCATCCTCGCTCTTCGATCTTCGTCTTGCGATCTTCATTCTTCACTTCAGCCTTTCGAAACTTGGTTGTGGTGTACAAGTTTCATCAACCTTGCTGAAACCCATACTTCCATCATGTCAGGCTTTGATAAATTCCTCAATCCTGCATTCTGTGCGAATAACATAAACTCGCCATGTCCCAACAAGACCTCCAAGGCTAACAATGCTTGCAGCCGCTGCTACTTAGTTGTGGTAAGTCCCCTTCACTTTGATCTCTTCAAGGCTCTGTGTCATATTCTAACCAAAATCAAAACAGTACTGTAGCAGAGAATGCCAAAAGGAACATTGGCCGGTGCACAAAGAAGATTGTAACAATATTCTAGCAAAGGATACATGGAAGCCAGATTGGCATACTGAAGATCGAGACCCAACTTTCTTCCAAACGGACCCATCTGAACCGAATTCAAATGCCAACAAAATGTCATGGTGGGGAAACATGCCAGCATTAGATTTGCTGAAACTGGATGGAAATGAAGGCCAGGATGCATCTTCCAAGATGCGTATTCTCCTCACATGTAAGAGAGTGTCTGCACTCCAACAACATATTCATTCAACTAACACGATTCATGATAGCATCACACGATATTCGAAACATACTCGAAACAGTCGCTCGTTTGCCAGATACATACTCGGGGGAATGTGACATCGCGATGAATGGCGTCAGCTTTGGGGTTTTCGCACAGAACATTGTCCTGGTTTTGACGGCTTTCCATTTTCCACCAGAGGAAGCCACTCCTATCATGATTCACTTGTGGTATTCAGCATTGATACCCACATCTGTTCTCACAGCACTTCAAACCAAGCTCCTGCCGTTGATTGAGAAAGTCTGCACCGAAGCTGCACTGAAACGTCCCAAGCGGCTTTTCAAATGGGTCTGGAAGAAGAACAAATCATCCTTACAACTAGAACTTCTGAGAGATGAGTGGGAACGTCTTCGATACACTCTTCGGTTTCCTGGTCGTTTTCCTGCTTCTGAAGCTACCCGGAACCGACAAGAGGTTGTATTGGCAGACAAAAGAGTAGATTCACTCCACAGGACTCTGCACGCGCAGCCTCGATATTGGCGTCTCTCCACGATGAAGTTCCGCCGTGATGGAATATTGTTGCCGTTTGGATGCTCACGTAAAGAATTTGACACTCCTAACCCGTGAGTTTCTCCAAATCCTCATTGTACTTGCAAGCCCACTAATACAATTAGGATTCTCTTCTCTGCTAGTCGTTCTTGGCCTATGCCAGACTCTGCAGATCCGCGCAGCAGCTGGGACATTCGGGAGGTATGCACTGGAGCGTACATCGCAAATTATCCTGCGAAGAATGATCTATACGGCATGCTATTCATCCACCTCCGAGAGACTTTCTTGCGTTTCTGTCGTCAACTTAGGAAGCGGAATATTACCATCCGACTTATTTCTATCGATACATTGAGTCTGCCGGGATATTTCAAAAAGCTAGAACATCCAGGATTTGACAGAATTGAGGTAATTCAACAGCCCAGAGCTCCCCTACCCCTAATTTCGAATTCAATTATGTTCTTCAGACGATGCTAATTCGATACAGACATACATCAATGCAGAAAAGGACGTGCTTGGGATCGAGATCACCCTCGCCCTAAATATCCCGCTGCTGAAGCCGAAAATTGAAAACCCGAAGGCCATGATTCTTGTCCTCTTTGTCTGCGACATTGAGGAAATGTTTAGTTTTGACACAATGGACCAGGACGTCGCTCGTGTTGCAAAATACCTCCCTGAACCCGAAACAACGGATTACAACGATGCAGACCAAATGAGAAGAAGGAGATCAAGCTCCTTCGTCTGCAATGTCAGTAAATTGTTTGATCTTTACAAAAAGGCCCATGGCTTCGATAAAATCCCGGAAAAATATGGATTGAAGATGAGGGGAAACAACACAATCGTGGCCCACTGGCTAATGCGGCCTGGAAAGAACGCGCCGCAAGAGGTGTTTGATATCCTCGAGGGATCCGGGGCCACTGGCTTCGAGCGCTACGTCGAGTGGGAATGGGCATAAATTATTTTCACAACTGGGAAACTACCAAGCAGTCAATTACTGGGTGTGCATGTATCTTTATTTCTAGTTCATCGATTCGCAAATGGTATCATCGTTATTCAATTTATGTATTCATCATCAGTTATCCTTTCTCCATATCCTCACGATAACCAATTTCTCCCACCCAGCCTGCATCCCACTCGACCCCGCCGTCTCAACCTGCCAACCACCCCAGCCACGGATACGCTCCATAACCTGATCAGGCCGGTTCTGCTTGCAGAGCAAGACATACGCCACACCACGCGCAGACAACACACCCGGAATAGCATCAAGCAATCTATCCGTCGTTTCCATCCCATCCGCCCCACCCGCATACGTCAAAGATAAAAAGTACGAGTCATTATCGAACTTTGCAGAGCGAGACATTGCCTCCGAAACAGCAGGGTCATTTTCCGCCGCAGAAGGCAGACGCGGTAGATCCTCAGTGGGAACATAGGGTGGGTTGAAGAGGAGGACATCAACACTGCCAGGATGAAGAGGCGCACACAGATCGGCTGTCAATGACGAGATGTGAACTGATTGAGGAGATGGCTGTTGCTCTGCTTGAATGGCTGTCGTTGCGGTCTTCCGCGTTGCGATGCAAGCATTGCGGTTCACATCTGTGCCTAGCGTGAGAATATCGCGTCGGCCGAAGATCTGTTCAGATTGGGCAGCTGCGAAGGCTAGCACAACGCCAGAGCCTGTGCCTACTTCGACGACTAATGGTGAGGGCTCTTGGTTCTTTGGGAAGCGTTCAGAGAGCCATTTTGATTCGGATGCTGATGACAATGTGTCTAGGAAGAGGTATGAGTCTTCGGATGGCTCGTAGATGGTGTCGAAGGACACATGTGAAGTATCTGGTGTGGGAAGCATGATTCGTATGTAATAGAGTGAAGTTGTAGAAATTCGAGGTTTATCAAGTCTTTTCTTTTTTTTTTTTTTGGAGATAGTGGGGTTATCTCAAATTTATATGTTGCAGAATGCGCGATGCGATCTTGGCTTGAGGTGATCACAATTTCACAGGGAAAGAAGAGTATTAATCTACTCAATTCGGATTTCCGAATATCCAATGTGAACCTTGAAGTAAAAAATCCAAAATATCCAAAATATCAAATGGCAAAGGAAATCTTCAATCCCGAGACATCCCGACCCGTTGATTCGCGCGTTCTCCTCGCCGCCTTTGCCTCCCCGAGGTTCGAAAATCCCCGGAAATTATGTCATTTCTCAATCTTCCCATTCTTCTCTAAAACCAACCTTCCACATATTCAAGATGCGAATTGCTCAGCGTTTGCTCATGGCCACGCCGGCCTCGATCGGCTCAAAGTCCAGCCTCAGCGAGGCTCTCGCTCTCCTCCCGCCGCTACAGCTCTACCGGCGCATTCTACGCGTCCACCGCAAGCTCGAACCCGAGATGCGCGTCCTGGGCGATTCTTATGTGAAGAATGAGTTCCGTGCGCACCGCAATGTGGAGAACCCGTTGCATATTGTATGTTTATTTCTGTCTGGATTGGTGTGGTCATACCGAGTTGAAGAGAACGGGAGGCATGGCGGAGGAGGAAGGGCTTGTTGAGGCAGTCGCTAATGTTAGAAATGATAGATCGGGTTCTTGACCGAGTGGCAGCTATATGCGCAGAAGTTGGAGGGGGATCAATGGGCTGGAGATAAGCTGGACCAGGGCAAGTTGGATAAAATGAGTGGTATGTTTCTTGACTGTTGTTTGGACTTTGTCTTGATTGATCAAATTGCTAACTGTAGTTATTAATTACAGACCAGCAACTTGGACAGTTACTCGAGCTTATGCAGGCTTTGAAGAATGAGGGAGAAGGAGAGGGTCAATGAGTTCTCGATTGATTTCATTGGACCGAGGTTGACACTACCACCCCGAGAGTTGGTGATATGAACATTGAAAAATGGAGTCTTGGCTGCCCATTAGTCTAAACTGATTTTCGAGTGCAGAGTGCTTGATCTCAGGGCAGCCAGACATGTCTCTGTCCGGTAGGGTTATGTTGGGAGATGCAGGCATCTCCCACCCCCCACCAGCCCATATGTATATATTAGGTGTAGGAATAGAAGAGACGAGGCTTTCAGTTGATTTAACATGGTTAACAATTTGGGTTTGCACCTAAGTTAGGTATATATATTATGGAGTATAGTCTCCACAAACACATCTCGGAACCTTATATTGTCGCGGAACAACTCCGAGGGACATCTACATGTCCGTGAACATTAATGAGACAGTGACTCTCGTCCGTGCATAAAGAGAAATCCAAGCCCTAGATCCATCTACCATGTTCTAGCACATAGCAGAGGAAAGATCAACGATAAGGCAAACTATGTACTCCAACTTCAGTGGAGAACGCCCTGCTAATGACACGCTGACTCATGCAAATCGGCTGCCGAATGCCGATATGGAGATAGAGATGAGGGTATATCAATCGCAAAATCCCCTTTAACCACTTTCCCATTGTCCAATTAACATTCTACCACACTTCACCCATATCTCCAACCCCATCTCACTCCATACATCATCAAAAAAAACTCACTCATCCACCATGCCCTCCATCCTGGAAGACCCCACGACCCGCAATCCCCCACCAAAAGCACACACAGATGCAGCACCGACCCTAACAGCAAGGAAAATTACTCTCCCCAAGTCCTCTTCTGCGCCAATGACGCTGTACCCCATCACAGGAGGACCGCAAGCAGTCCCCAAAGACCTAATCAAATTCCTGCACGAGGAGTTCAGCGCGGAGATCCTCCGCGGCGGGACATACCCGATGGAGCAGCCGATGCCCCTAGATCAATTCGCCGATTATTGGTTCGGGACGTTTGCAGCCCTGGCGATCTTGGACGATGAGGGCGAGGGTTTAAGGGAGGGAAGGAATTGGGAGAGTGTTTGTTTGGGAACTTTTTATATCAAGCCTAACTATCCTGGTATGTGGTTTACATAATTTACATCAATCTCTATAGAAATAAGGAATAAGGAATAGAATACTAACTCTACTAGGTCGTTGTTCCCATATCTGCAACGCAGGCTTTCTCACTACCACTGCCGCACGTGGAAAGGGTGTTGGACAGGCTATGGGTGAAGCTTACTTGGAATTTGCCCCGAGATTGGTATGACTTTCGCTACCCTGGCTTTTGCACTTGGCAACCGTTACTCCATCGGATATAGAATAAGTGTGACTAACTCTTTTGGTAGGGATACACATACTCAGTCTTCAACTTGGTTTTCGCCAATAACCCGGCCTCCATCCGTATCTGGGAGAAGCTAGGGTTCAGTGTTATCGGACGGGTTCCCAAGGCTGCGCGGTTGGCGAACAGCGAGGAGTTGGTTGACGCATTGATTTTTGGACGGGAGCTGGGAAATTAAATGGCAAGTTTCAGTTTCAGTTTTAGTTTTAATTTGAGGTGGCACATTCATGTTTCACATATAAGAGTTGCCGTTTCGGGTATATAAATTGTGTTGTTACGGATGATCAACATACTGCAGGGTACGTTGAGCCATGACTGACAATAAATTGCCTGGGAAACGAGTATTGTCATTTCCAAGACCAAAGAAACAACTAGATAAAACTACAAGGAATAATATTCACAGGGAAGAGAAGTAGAGTGATAATCAATGAGACTTCAGAAAGACAACATAACTGGGAAATAGATGACCCCAACGCTCAGACCATACCATGCAAACGAATAGGGATATCACGCAAAACCTGACTTGTCAAGATGATGGCTCCGCTTCACACCGAGGGAACACCGATTTGGAAATCGAGATCGAACCGAGGGCAAAGGGGTGTAAATGCACAAGTAAAAACACATAGATAGAACATAGATAGAACAAGGTCGTAGAAGGGTAGATAGAAGTCGGAGAGTAAGGAGGATAGAATGAGAAAGAGGGAGAGGGAGAGAAGATGGTGAGGACTATAGGTGACAGGCGTAGGCGTAGGTAATGAACAGTGCGCAATATACCACTCAGTTGCCATTAACGCCACCGCGGACGTGTATCCACTGGTTTCGGGGTCGTTTGCTCTTTCTCCATTCGCTTGGGAAGCGGGAGCAGACTGGTTCGCCTGTTGCTAGAATGGCCTAGCGATGTACCCGGTCGTGACGACTTGGTTGGGCTCTCCATCCCACCTGTCGCTCCCGACACGCTTCGACTGAAAGCCGTGGGTGGGCCCGCAAAGCTCTGGCGAGTGCGAGGTGTGTTTGACATCCCTGATTGTCGATAGAGCCGACTGTAGGGTGGTGGGTCGAGGAGTGAGGACCGCGCCGGTGTGGGAGACGACACGTTCCGACTGGGACTCCGAGAACCAAAGCGGCTCGAGACGCGACTGGTTGATCGAAGGCCCCCGGGAATCGGGGACGCAGACGTCTCTCGTCGGGAAGTGTTGGGGAATGGAAGTGTGGATGATGGCCGGGGTGTGCGGGCGAGTGGTGCAGAAGATTTCCGCAGTGTCGAGTTGTAACTAATAGCCGTGTCGTTCAGGTTCGTACTGTTGTTCCAGCGTGGGCGGTTGGGAATTGTAGATGGCGGCGCGGGTGTACGAGAACGAGCAGCCGGGGTCGGGGTGAAGTAGTTTGAGGATTTGTAGGACGGAGTAGGAGAGATCAAGCCGGTCGGTTGGGGGATTGAGGACTTTCGACCGGTGTAACTTCCCGTGGGCTGCGGCAAGCTGGAATAACGACGGCTTGCAGGCATAGCTGAGCGGGCTGTGGCACTCCCGACTGAACTTTCGCGACGGCTTGATCCGCCCATGGGCGTTGAAGCGCGCTTGTATCCAGTGCCGGCCATGATGACTGACGATGCAGGTGAGCTTCCTGGGGTCTCGATGGCACTTCCTGTGGCTGGACTGTCCATGGTGAGGATGCTGGAGATTGAGTCTCGTAGCTGGTGGCCCTTGGTAATATGCACGTCTTCGAGAGATGTATCCATTACCTTGGTGCTAGCCTTGAGAGCATCCGTTCGGGATGTCATGTCGGAT